TCGTATATTTGTTACGTCCAATTTCCTTCGTAACTGAATGCAAGCGCATTACGTAATCGAAAACGATATTTATTCATGTCAATAAGTTATACAATAGTTATGTTGTTTCTGGAAGTAAAACATTATTTTTATTGCTGAATATACCAGAAACCGGTAGCCTTAAACGTGATACAAATTAATATATTCTAGATTTAGATCTTAAATTCTTTAAAATGTTAAATATCTAGTTTTTGGACACGCCCATATACGTAAGTGGTCAACGCTCTTTTAAGTGCTGAACTTCCACGTGCTCCAAAATATTGCTAGAAAACCAGTAAATATCTAAGAAGTAATAAAACTGACCACCCTCTGTCGACTCTGTACGGAAGTTTGTCCCTGACTTACCTAAAAGTGAGGCACATAATGTAATATTACTTTTTGCCAAACACAGAATGTCAATGGATGAATTTTCATCCCTGCAATTTGTTTCTGGTCAGCTGATGGTGCGTTGCCGTGTTGAAACAGTTTCCTCGAACGTTCGTATGTAAACGTTTCCACTTTCAAACGACCGCTCCAAACGTCTGTAAGGCGTGGTCCTTCCCGCGTGTCGTCACGCAGCCGTTGCCTTTAAATCGCACCGAGTGCGTAACGCTAACGCGTCGTTCGAACGTGTGTGTGTTTAGGTTGTTGGGTGTAAATCTGTCCGCGCTTACCGAATCGCTCTCAAAATTTCATTGTGAACAGCATTAAAGCAATAAGAAGGTAACGCTGTAGGGGCACGTCGGAATGGTGACGGGGTCATGGGCAGTATACGAGTCTCAAACAAGACTCCCTTGTTTTTACTTTAGACTACACGGAATAACATTATGGGACCTTTGATACAGATAATTATGTTTGAGTAAACATAATTATCTTGGAACTGCAATGATTAAGCAATAAAAATGATTTTGTATTCAAATAACAAATTTATACGATACAAAGCAACATTTATGTCCTGATGTCCATTCTCTCCAAGATTTGACTACATCCGATTGAACAATATTTCTATTATGTTTTTGCATCGCCATAATTATATTACATAGATGCACAGATGTTGGTACTGTAATATTTCCTAATTATTTTATAATCGGTCCTCGTGACGTAGAGAGGTTGTAGTGACACAGTTGATTATTAGGCCGTCTAGATTGATAGCTAAATAACTGTTGATGAAAAAACATGATGAATACACAGAAGGCTATTTTTGACTTGTTATGATGTATTGTAATACAAGACAGTAACTATCTTTATGGAAATAATTAGCACGGTTATAACAAATTACTCGTACAAATTTACTCGTTGGCTCGTGGCAAGATGCTTTTGGTAAAATAGCGGCTTATTTTAGGTGTTCAACTTGTTATGGTGTCATTAACAAAACGTTAAACGGAACGGATTTTGAGTATGTCGACGGTAGCATAATTGTAGAAGTCTCTCTCTTTTAATATAAGATTCCTTTGTCTAGTATAGAGTTGTGCTCGATTCCGTCTGAAGTGGCGTATTAAGCGGCTTCAAAACGTTCATGAGGAGTTCCGCATGGGTACTGTAAAATTCCGAACTGCACCGAAATGACGAACAGCGGCCGATATCTGAAAACGAGGCTGCCAGTTTTCAAAATACGTTGCTGTAACACGAGTTAATTTCTTTCCGTTGTTCGCCCTAGTCGCAAAGCAGCGGCTTCTTTCCACTTCGCACCGTTGATAATATTAGCCGTTATCAGCAGCACCACGGTGCACCTTGTGCGAGGCGCACGCAATCAAACGCTCAACACTAGAATCACTTAACCTCCTTACTAGCGTTATGCAAGCAGCCTTAGCAATTAAACAATTACGAAATCTAATTAAGAGCGGAGCGCAAGTGGGACGTCATCGCAATAATAACCAGATACCGGCGAGATAACCGGCCGGCTATCTCTGTTTATTTGAGTTCCCGATCAAAGTGCTAGAACCGCCGTTAAGTGTGAGCGCGGAGCCTTAGCGCACGCGCACAGCTCTAATACGATACGACCTTGACGAACATTTACATATTCTCCCATTCTTTCTGCTACGAAACGGAGATTCTCTGTCACTTTCTAGTTTTAATAAATGCGAGACGGAGCGCGACCGCGAACTCGTCCCATTCACCCTGATAAAGGTTCACCATTAGCTCCGAAACATAACACCGATTGGAAGTAAGACGACTGCCGTGTCCCCAAACACCTCCATACACTTTACTATTCATCTATTGAACATGTTTAAATTCAATGCATTAATGTCTTGCAGTAGGGCACTGCACTGAATTAGTTTAACAGAAAATAATACATTTTAATCAGTAAGTACCTACTTGTATTGCTTTAATTTCTGCTTCAAAAAAGCATTTATGAAATTGACGCCGATAAAGCGTGCACAAAACATTTTCGTGTGCCCACCTTAATGTAAATGCCACAAAAACCGGAGACAAAAGCAAAACCATTAGCGCGCTGCATGTCATTTTCCGGACGTAATTACACGTGTTCCAACGCACGGTGTATTTATAATGTGTGTGGCTTGAGCATGCCATTTAGATGCAATAAGGTCGATTGTCGCTTACGCGATATATTTAGCAGTTGTTCCAATGTGTGAGAACGTAAACAGCTCCTGTTACGTTGAGACTGTGTATCGTTTGTGATTAGAGCGGGTTGGGCCGTACAAGCAATTCACGTAAGGCGTATCGGAACGCATGATATTATTCTTTCCGTCGCGGTCGAAAAAGCCACCGGTCTCGTGCAATGCGCAAGCGCACAACGTTCTCGTTTCAGAAATATCCTTCGAGCAATTGCAAAACGCACTGGACGTTCGTATCTTAATTTTGTTATACTCTAACGCAGCATTTTCGTGTTTCACATGGTATTTAATCGTTAATCGTGCGTCTTTATAAACTGCAATCCTAATACTTATCACAACACGCTTCTGATCTCGGCATTGCGCCAAGAATGCTTGGTTTACTCGCCATATGGAATATTACACATTAATTTGGAGTGAGATACAATTTACATCACCTTACTGCACATTATCTGTGTCCTAAAATGGATGACGTAAGAGACCTTCGATACTCTTAAAAGAATAGTTAGACGAAACTGTCTATAGAAAACCACTCTCCTAATCTGTATAATTTGCCTTTACTAATTAATTTAACGAGTGAATCGACTAGAGCGACTATATCCACGAACTAAGTCCGTTGGACGGGCAGACAGACGCACATCGCCACAAAAGCGTTTGTTTTGTTCACTTAGAATGTCTGCCTTTCGTTTTGTAAACGGCCTCCTTATGTAATTGTATCGCTCAGTATCCGAGACGTCACGTGTTCGAGGCAATTAAGGCATTATGCCCCCAATCGAAATGCGCTAGGGGCGATAATGGCTCGAAGGTTACGCGATCAGCTGGTATCGCTGCACCGTGAATCATGTAACTACGCAATACGTAACACGATTCACCAACTCGCTAATTTCGACTTTGCTCATCGTTCGCGTAAGATACGCACGTGTGTTTAATGCCATACAGACTATAGTCCGCGACACGTAACGCTGGTGTACACGCCGTTTTACTATTCGGCAGAATAACACGTACAGGGCTCTTTACATTTAAGTAATTCGAAACCTGACTTTAAGTAACTGCAAATTAAGTTAGGTCGAGGTGTTTTTGTGTTTTCTTTGTTAGTTGTCAATAAATTAATTTTAAATCTTCTCATCTCGATGCAATTAAATAGCTCGCTAACTGTAGGTGTAAAACTCATTTGCGCGTTTCGGGCATCGAACACAATTCCCCTTATTCAGAGGCAGACCAATCAATCACAATCCACTGTAACCGAATGAGGCTATCATTAATTAATTGACTTAACGGGGGCGCTCCTTTACGCGATATCGTTTTCTGACCCTGAATTTCTCCACCATCGACAGCCCCTCGACACGATTAAAAGCCAAGTGACATCGAGAGCGTCGAGGACCCTCTCGCAGCCGCGATCCGAAGCGACCTCGCAATTACCGAGGCGACAATTATTCAATTAGGCTGACCAATTCCGTGATATATTTCAATCCTCTGATTAGTTTTTTATTGCTTCCCCGCCTTAATAACTTGAGAAAGTGCTGCTATCGACAAAATCTTATTAAACATTATTATTAACAAGCGGACAACAGTAGCGGTCTGTGAAATCATTCCAATGATCATGTTGTATAAAGACTAAGATGCCAAGCAAAGTAGTCCGTAACTTTATACGTGCGCAAGATCTTCATTGGGCACTTATCACTTGATATCTTTTCAAGCTCTGTTGATCCTGTAATTAAATGTATGTATGTATGTATGTATATCGGATTGCGCTGCACAATCACGGCCGTCGGGTGCTATCTTTAATCAAACATTGTACTTGACCTTCGATTATGAAGTCGAGTATCTTTCGCTCTTTTTTTGCTATGTAAAAAAGGCGGTCATGCCAAATGTCAAACCTCTTTTTGCTTGTAAACATACATGAACACGTTTTTATTCTTCTGCGATCCAGAGAGAATTATACTATAGATATTATATGAATACTAACAATAGATATTTCTTATCTTCAAACATTCCCTTTAACTTAAGCGATTCCTTTTTTTAACTTTGTCTTTGAAATTTTTGAGTGAAATAAAGTTAATTAAATGTGTACCTGTATCATTAGAATGGATTAGGAAACTGATTTCGAATAAAAGGATATTTTGCGGCGTAATAATCGTTTTATCACAAAATACTTGTTACGTCGTGATAAAAATAAAACAAGGAAAATGTTGCGCAGCATCTAAAGGAAAAGTCTACTACTTCTAAGTAAAGTGTAATGAAAAGTTTATTTAAATACTTAAATATGTAATTGATCCGTCATTGCGCTTATGTCCTAGGCTACACCAATACTGAACCAATGATACAACATGCAAGGGAACAATTTTGATCGAAATGCGTAGATAAATAAAGGTTTCTCTTCAATTTTTTTTTATATAATTTTGTGTGTTAATAGTATAGAGTATCAGGCGGCCCCCATTGAGGCGTTATTGCCGAGGGGCCATGGCCCTTGTCCCCCATACGCGCCGCGACCTTGCCCGAATGAGGCACAGCGCGGTGCGCGTGTGACGGTGGCCGGCTGCCAAGTGTTGCACATTCGTTGAGCGCCACGCGCCCCATTACATTTGTTATCTGCGAGCGGCTCATCGGCCATCGGTAGCCCCCTTTCGAAACAATCCGGCGCTCGTTTTTAACCATGGATTCCACCTTTGCTATTTACTATATGAAATAATTAAACTCTTAAAAGTATGCCAAGTGTTATTCCTGAATGTAACACATCTAATTTTCGTAAATATCTCTTGCAGTCCGTCTGAAGGGGGCGAGAACATATTTTCAACAAAATCTTTGCGTTTATAATAGTAGTTTAACTACTTTATAAGTCATTCTCTTTCTCTCTCTCCCTTGTTTATAAGTGGAAGACGACAGAGCTTGTTGTGTTCGCTCTGATGCGTTCTTGTTAATGGCAAAGTTAGCGATCGTGTTCAAATTAGTGATATAGAAGGTGTAAAACGATCGCGATGCTTATAACAATGTAACACGTTCACAAGTTATCCTGGCTTAATTAGGCAAACTGACGACCGTACCACAACTGCAGTCGAAATGAATTATTATTCAAATTCATAACGTTAAGTTATATATTTTTTAATCTTCTATTTATTAACTAGTCAGCTATTTTATTACCGCAGCTGATGATGCCAGGTGACCCCCAAAGGTTTTGCCTAGAGTTTGTAATAATCATTCATATATAATAATCATTCTGAACATAGTTATACTTTACTTATCCTTAAACCCGTTATGTAACAGACGATTACTTTAGTGTCAAGACTACGTGTCTTCATAAATTAAATTCTGGGCCTTAGCCCGGCTCTAGTCCCACGTGATAAATTATCCATCGACACCATTTATAATGTGTCGCGATGATTCACCCCTTTGAACAATCATTGTTTGTTCGCCGTCATAATCGGGCGTTGTGCAAGTAACATAATGATTAAATGTAACACTCCGTACAATGTTGAACAAAGTTCCGACCAACGTGAAAATATGGGATGTACTAGCTTGATAAAGGGAGTATCTATTAATTTGATTCTAATATTTTATGTTTTACTTTGAACTTCCCTTAGTAAGGTTATAAACGCTTATGAAACAAATAAATTATCTGCCCACTTTCCATTGGAAGAAAAGTTCTGGGCTCTGTTATGGAATGATAACTTGTACTTTATTCAATTTACAAATAATACCTCGCCTGGGAATAGATTTATCCATTTATTCTATTCCCTATATGGTAGCAGTGTTGACGGTGCGTAATCAGTTATAAAAGTGTAGACTGAGCGCGCGACCTCTCCGAGCTTTAACTAAAAATGGAATGTTGCAGGCCGCGAGCAAACAAAAGAGCGTATTTGAGCGTCTCGCCCACGTGTCCCCTTCGGCCCACGCGTACCGCTCGCCCCGGTGCGGCCCCATTGCCCCGGAGACCGCCACCGCACCGGGGGCCACGGGCACAAACAAGTCTGGGGAACGTTGAAGTACACGACGTATGCACAGGACTATCGTACTGAGTGTCATGAGATTGCTCCTCATTAAAGTATTTTTAGCCTAGACATGCTGTCAAAGGCTTCCACCCCCCTAGTCTGCAGACAGTATCCTAAAAATTGTCGAGCGCAAATAGCTTCACTTCAATCGTAAAATCTGTAGGGCACACTCGCACAGTCAGCCGTATTCGTTCGTCGGTTTCTTCAGAATTGTAAAGTCCCCTGTCGCGAATGTCAAAGCGAAATGGCACGGTTTTATTTGTATTTTTATTATTCGTATCAGACACGGTCTGCAAGATGTAAAAACAAATATTCAAAGGGCTTAAAATAGACGAGCATGAGACGATGTTAGAGTTCGGCCTCCGCCCTTCTGTCGGCAGCCACAAGTGCCACATTATTGAATTCCAGTTTCGTTGTATCCGATAGTTCAATCAGAGGCCTGCGCAAACAAATTACTGTCATGCCCCCAGACATATTGTTATGTGGAGAGACTTGGCCCATAAAGCGGGCAGCGTTATTTCACTTTGAGAACTTGCCTCGGCCAAAGTTTTTATTAGTGTTCGCTGATTTACTTTTTGCTGTACTCTTACTGATTCAACTTTGTAATAGAGAAGTCGGCTTGCGGTTCGATGTTGTCTGTCATGAAATTTCACTTAGCTAACGATTCATAACTCTTTCTAATTCGGTTGCGAGACCTCCTACTTCGATAGTTCCAGACCAAGCCTTAAAAAAGTTCAAGTTATCAATTATACGGAACAAAATACAACACATGTAAAAAATTATAATAAAAATTGTTATCTATGGGAAAATTAAGAATGTAGAATTTGTCGGTAGCAACCAATTGCTCTATTCTTCATAAATATTATGTAGCGCTTACTTACAGTGCTTCTTGAAACGATACGTTTTAACGAAATGATTTTATCCAAGAGTTAAATGCTATTGGTATCAACAGTTTCATATCAACTTTTAAAAATCAGCACTCGTGTCTACAAGCACGATTGCATTTTAAGAGTTCAGTTTCATTATTTAAACGACGTGCAAGTTTGTCACCTTTACTTATGAAAAAAAGACACCGTCGTGTTGTACTAATTTTTATTATCTCGTTTCACGTTGCGTCCGCCATGTAATTATTTCCTTATTTTATGTTGTCGCTTGTTTGTGTTTAAACGCTCGCGATTTTTACGAATGTAAAAAAAATGTCATTTAATCCAAGCGATATTTCGCACACCTTTATTCTTTTTATGGAATTATTATTTTTTTAACCTTTATTTTTACTTCTTTGCATTTACCTTTTGTACTCTTAGGGCTCTTTAGCAGTATAAATTGAAAAAAGTACCGACAATGACTCAAAAATACTACGGAGGGGCACACCAAAAGAAATGATCGGGAATAAGAAAAACCACATGCACGGTATAGCTAAATTGTATTTTATGTTTATGTTTTTCGAAGTATGCTCCGTTCAACCTAATGCAGTTTTCCATTCGTGCAACAAACCAATCATTAAAACAGTAATTCCAGTGAAGTGCCAAAATGGCTGATTTGTACGCTTCCACAGTTGCAGCCCGAAGCAGCTGTGGAAGCGTACAAACCGTGGACCGCGTAATAAATCTTTCATTCCAGGGAATGTAAAGAAATCGTTTGGGCTTAGAGAAGGACTGTACGGAAAATGGCTCATCAGCTCGACGTTTTCCTGCTTCAAAAAATCAATTGTCTTCCGAGTCGTATTATCGTGATGTAAGAAAGCCACTTTTTGGCATGTTGCGGGAGCGAACCACTTTCGTTGGTTTGAGCTCGTCTTCGAACACCCAAACTGCTCACTGATGTTTTTTTTCAGGGTCGTATAAATCCATGATTCGTCACCTGAGACGACATTATAACCGGCATTTGACTTCCCTCCGTTAAAGCGTTGCAGAGTATTCCTGCACCAATCTACACGAGCCGCCTTTTGCTCTTCGGTCAAATTGTGGGGAATCTAGCAGGAAATTAGCTTTCTTACACACAGCACATTGTGTAATATCGACTGAATTGCAGTCATTCCGATACTAATAACAGCCGGAGTCTGCTCGTATGTCACATAACGGTCATCTAACATAATAATTCGCACAGCTGCGATGTTTTCAGGCGTGACCGCTGTTCTTGGTCGACACGCAGAAGAAACAGTGCTGAGCGACACACGACCGCGTCGGAACTCGACATACCAGCGGTATGTTGTCGCTTGACTCGGTGCTTCAACATCATAAATCGAAACAAGTTTCAAATTCTTAAAAAGATTTTATTGTAACTCTATCCGAAATATTCTATTCTCGATCATTTCAGTGTGCACCTCGTATCTACTGTGATAGTATTTTTATATAGGCACGTGCAAAACCGGGCCAACCAAACTCGTCTCTAGGGTCCTCATTTATCTAAGGGCACGCTTTTGTTAACGTCAACTTCGTTTACTTGTAGACTGGAGTTTTATTAATAATTCCTTAAGACTAAACGTGGAAAAAAAGCTAAATGAAAGTCTGAGCAAATGTGGTTTATACTTATAACAAAATGTTATCGCCGTTCAAATTATAACATCGCCATGTAGTTTGCTAATATTTAAGCCCCACTTTTCTTTTCTAGACGAATCGACGCTAACCTGATGAGACGTTTGGCGGCACCATATCAGGCGATCCGCGTTGACTCATCGTAAATAATGTGTAAAGCGAATATCTTTTTACGAAAGATAAGTTATGTTCATACGATAAGTTCATCCTAGACTTAGATAGCACCTTCGTTTACTAACACCAGAGAGTGGCTCTTGGGCGTGGAAGATTTTATGGCGAATCAAATTTTATTTTCATAAGAATGAACGTACATAGATGGAAGCTATGATTAAAAGATATACAAAAAAGGCCAGTACTAATAGACAATACAGAGTTTTATCTTAATGTTGTTGTTGTTGTTTAGTTTACTGTAATCTTGTGAGAAAAATGTGAAAGATGTAAAAAAAAATGTGAAAGTTGCCAAACCAGCAGACGGTTCACCTGATGTTAAGTGAATGCCGCCGCCCATGGACATCTGCTACACCCGAGGGTTGTAGATGCGTTGACAACCTTTTGAAAATTGGGCTCCGGCCACCTCCCTCGCCAGACGAAACGCTAAAGTTTTATACTTCCACTTTATGCCGGTCTTCTGTGAGGTCGTGGTACTTACCCGGACGAGCCGAGAAATTGTTTGTATACTGGAAAGGATATAACAATAGATGCGCCAAGCATTGCTTCAAATGCTAAATAACAATGTAGAAAGAAGTCGTTAAGATTTTCGTCGCTGTGGTTATCAGCTGTTTAGCTCAGTGGCTAGAGCGTCAGGCCGCGAATGCCGAAGACGTGGGTTCAATTCCCACAGCGGCGAAAATCTTTTCGTACTTTTTCTACATGTTTTAATAAACGGATACAGTTAAAATAACCAAAAATATATTTTCTTAACATCCTCGTCTTGCATAATTTGATTTGTTCGAAACGTCGCCGGTTAGTTAAAATCAAAATGAATTGTGGTACGTACTCCCGAAGCGCCCTGTTCGCTTGGTATACTCGTGTTGGCGTGGCGTGGCGTGGCGCTGCAGTCGAACGGCCCCAATGTTTACGAAACGCTCCAGCGGCCGGTTCGCCTTGACTTTTGCCGCCGGCTGAGAGATCAGCTCGCTGCCGCAGTAGTGATGGGCTGCTGTTACACGTTCCTCTGAAACATCCCAAAATTACCCTCATTAATATGTTATATGTTACCAACACGGCTCTGCAGGTGATTTTTGTCTTTTTTGGTAGTCATAAAAAAACGATGTAAACACCAGTGGAACTGTAAAAATAGTTGATTCGGGATGTTATCGTTCATAATTGACGAATTACATGTATCCCATAGCCACGACAGGGTGATATTATCCTATACTATAATATACTATTGGTACGTGAGCGAAAGTCTTCGAGTACCTACGTTTTCGTCCGCTTGCCAAGTCACGTCACCTATATTCTTGTCAATGAATGGGCGTCTGAAATAGTTCAACGCGTTGGCAATTCAAAAAATTGCAAATCGACGACGGATAATAATTGAAAGTTAACATTTTATTTTTCGAATTAATTAATTCATTATGGGCAAGTGCATAATTTTCTGGCGCGTACTCCGTTCTTTATTGCGCATCACTAGCGCTCGCCAACCGCTCGAAATCGCAAGTGAGCGGGCTGCAGCGACCTTGGCGCCTTTTTTTCCCGCCTTGTGATGTTTGACAGCGGGTGACGTAACCCGAACGAACGACTGAAAAAAAAATCGTCTACAATTGAAAATGATATTGTTATAATATGCAGTCCGGTTTTATAATATGCGGCTTTGCGCACATAATAATAATTGTCTTATTGTCGCGGCAATCATATAACTGGGATTGCTCAAAGCGCAGAACAAATCGATTGTCATTGATAGCGAGGTTGGCGCGGTATACAAATATTTTTTGAATACATTAAATTGTGAAAGGCCGTTTCGACTGCACGAGTATGATGTTTTCAAATGTTACATTGCCTTGTACAGAACACGATAATAATGCACCTTACGTGACCGGAATAAGACACGCTTATTCTCGCTTGCCGTAATTGAGCAAGTTTTAATTTTTTTTTATTTAGAAACTGTTGTCGGTGCGAACCGTTTCATTGCCATGCGCATTGAGGTATACATTTACATCTTATAAATTTATTCTTGCACTGCCTTACATTGTTGCAAATATCGCACAACGCCTGACGGCGTGATCGGACGACAACGTCGATTTTACACACATATCTGTGTGTCTTATGTTATATTTCTGTCTCGTTTTATTCTGCCGCCACGTTTAATTTACGATGTTTACCCCGTCTTATGTCAATGAGAGCCCAAGTCGTGTTTACCTCTCGTGCGCGGTTATTTTAAAAACGGAGTTGACTCCGATCCCGCGCCGGTTCCATGCCGACGCGGTTTATTTGCGAGCGCACTTGGAGACTCCGCGCCGCGCGTTCTCCGCTGTTCTGTTATGCAACCGATTATTCACGGGCCGCGGGGAGCCGCGATGGCGGACTTGGAAACGCGCGCACTCCGCTTGGCGACTGTTCGTTCGTCTATGAATTGATATTTTGTTTTGTTCCTTTGGGCTTCGTGCGTATCTGTGTTGCGTCTAGGTTTTTTTCGCAAGCTCTTCAGATTTAGACTGTCAGTGAAACTTGCTCGCTTCGATGTTAAAGACACGAGATCACGTATTGTAGTTTTTAATAAAGTTTCGATCTAGATTGGCGCGAGTGCTCTAAGCCCAATTGTCGTAACGTGCGGCAGCGAGCCACGGGCCAAAAGGCCACTCCAATCTCCAGCGGATATAACCGCCACATAGTTGGCATCGCACCGCGGGCCCCTAAATGTCGCAACTCTTTCTAATGATAATGATATGGAAACCAGTTAAAGTCCAACGTGCTTTGCAAATGCAAAACGCCCCTTTACATAAATTCTACGTCGTTTAAGGGATTTTTATGTCATTTCATGATATCTCCAATGTTGCAAGTGTCCTATCGATCGTTCGTCCGTTTTCAATAAAAAATAAACCGCGTTTTGTTTTACCATTCATGCCGAAATAGATTAAAAGCAAATTAATAAGGTTGAATGTTAAAAGTCGACGCCCACACGCCGACCTTGTTAACTTTGACTTGAAACTTTAAAAGCTTTTACATTTTATTTACCTGTTTTTTTTTACCCAGAGGAATGTAACTGGCGGCATTAGAGAAATGCGTTTTCATAAAGCCTAGGCCCTTCGCTACGAACGTACGAAACGGCTCTAATGAAATTCTGCATTTAAAGTGGAAAAGCAACACATTTTGTATTCGAACACGGTCGGATACAACTGTTGCCGAGTGTGCGATATTTCACATAAATCTCTTTGAAAGGTTGCTCGTTTGTGCATTTGCAGTGTTCTCCCTAAAGAAAGGTCATTCCGTAATGCTGCGAAGAGCAACGGAGAATGCCATTGCATTTCATAATTAATAGAGGAGCAAAAACATCGGATCGCTAGTATCTCTGCCATATGCTATAGTATATCTTTTATTTATTCGGTTCATCTCACTTTTTGACGGAGTGGATTACTGCTATATATCTGTTTTACATCTCATTTTACATTCATTTGTCGACTCGATTAACATATAACGGCAGTAAGACTAAATGATATTTTCATTTAACATATTTAGATAGACCTAAAAGTAAAGTACACTAAACATAGGTCTATAAGATCTGGTTTGAATGGAATATGTTTATTTGGTCCAAAGCGTAAACATGTATTTTAACTGTATTCGATGATTTCGTAGGAGTCTTAAAGAGATTTCTGTACAGGAAATGAACAGATTTTGTATTCGTTCAAAGAGTGAGAGCAGAGGTCACTGACCTCTAATTTGGCTACGCTGTGCCTTACAGAACCGAATAGGTTTCTCACAAGGAACGTTGTTATGATATGCAATACCGTTAAATATCGTTTCTATAATGAACTCGGTAGAAGGTTACGTGTTCCTATTTCATTTGGATTTGGCGTAGAAGATATTTTTTCGTTCAGAGTATATTCATTGGATTTAAACAAAAAATAGCAATATTCTAAATAATAATGGTTATCATAAAAAAAAAATCGACTCTATCTCTATCATAAAAAAAATGACTTTTGAAATTACGCAGAATGTCGAATACCGACCTTCTTCCTCCACGGCTACTCCTGTGGCAGCGCGTGATGAAAACAGAATTTTATATTCTATGTTAGTTGATATGCTTAATTCAGCACCTAACAGTGACGATGAAAATATCGAATCATGCTCACCAATAAACGGACATGCTTTAGTTAAGTCACCGTTAGCTGATTATATTAAAGGAAAGAGACTGAATATTACTGAAGACAGTCTTTCATGGTGGAAAGTAAACTCAAAATATTTTGAACCTTATGGAGTAGTACGTCAGTATTTATCGGATCCTCCATTAAGTGTTCCCAGTTAACGCCTTTTTAGTGGTGCTGGTTTACCATGAGCATGAATCCGTTTATCAGGAGAAACAATATCTAAATTATTATTTATTAAATTCAATTTACTCTATGTTAATATTTAATCCCTAGTTTGGATAGCAACATGTGTTATGGATATAGGCCACTGTCGTCCATAAAAAAAACTAAAAACATATTCAGTTCGAACAATGGATCATAGCTGTCATGATCCTGCTGGGATAGAGTGCCTCGATGGGAGCTATAAGTGACAGATTATGTCAGCCGTTTCCGTTGAAAATGAGCATCATCGATATGTATGTAAACTGGCAAAATATCCTACTGGAGTTACGTATGTTGATCGAACATTAAGGGGTTCTAAATCTCTACGAATCTGCCTCTTTCTTTGTGGGTTCCGTGCTCAAATCGATGGGACATAGAACTTTTGACTCTATTGCGGTCGCCTTAAAGCCTATATTCGCAAACAGTAGGGCCGCATCGAATCGTCACATCGTCACAGGTTGTTTTGGCAGCGACACCCGATCACTTTCGCGTGGAACCAGTTTCGCGAAGATTCTTTGGACCCGGCCGATGGTCGCAGAGGACCAGTTTCACGGCTCCCGTAACCTTGGGCGCTCTCGCGTGACGTAACACTGTTTACGACCCAATGCAATGTTATGACAACAGTACTCTTAAGTAATTATTGTTGTTTTGCTCTCGTGCGTTATTTCTTTATGAACAAAATATGGCGTAAATAAGAATAAGAAGAGCATCGTATAGTTGAGAATCTAAATATTATTTCATTGCTCATCATAGTGTTACGTTCATTTTTCCTCTTTTCTGACTAGTAAATTGTTAACATCGTAGACATAGCAACTGACGTGGAGGGACTGAGAAATAAAAAAGAGAATAGAAGCGCGATAAGTTTTCGATCAGTATAGCTCTGGATAGTGGGGAGGGCCACGAACTAATTTCGGCTTACTCTTACACATTCGATATCCTGTGGAAACTTTGCACTTATCTGTACATCCGATGAGAATACAATATCGGTTCGCAACTTTTCTTTCGCCGGTGCCTGTTTTTTATGTCGCTCGTACTTTTTTTGCTCGAGTGCTATATATAAAAAAGAAATCTGAATGGCGTCGGGTTTCACTTTCGTGCCGTCCAAATGGGCCATTTTATATATGTGATGGTAACTTTTATTTGGAACTATTTCCAGCTTTGTCCACATTGGTGCCTGGCATGATGCGCGGCATACATTTCATAAAACGTATTACGATTTGCCTTACTCCCTTACTAATATTATAAAGGCGAAAGTTTGTATGGATGAATGTTTGTTACTTTTTCACGCAAATACTACTGAATGGATTCTAATGAAACTTTACAATAATATAGCTTATACATCAGAATAAAACAAAGGTTATAATTTATATAGGTACATATTTTTATGTAAGTATATCTTTCTGTCTGAATTTTACGTCTTCCGCCTATTCTACGCAGGCGTAGTCGCGGGCAGCAGCTAGTATCAGATACGGAAACCCGTAGCTGAGTGTGAGTAAGACTAGATAATCAGCCTTCATAACTGTAGATATGATCGACCGCTCGGTGCGATATAGTTTATTGAAATTCCGTAATATCTTGATAGCAGAATAAACGGTTTGCGTTAAAACAGTGGATGTATTTTTAAGCGAGCATGTTGCCAACTGGCAAGCGAGCATTAATTTCACCTATGTAAAAGGATTACCGACACTCGTAGTTAGATACGCACAGTACTTGAAGATGGTGCCACCCTTTAGAAAAATTGTGCCCCGGTTATACATATTTACTTCACTCCTCACTCACAATTCCACTGTCCATTCGTGAGATAGCAAGAAGCTGCCTCATTTGAAATTTGTTTACGACATTCATTTAGCAAGGAATGAAGGTAGCTGTAATCTTAAGGGGTTGGACAGAAACAATTGATTGTATCATGAATAAGTAAATAAAAACTACCGACACACGTTTTCAGTTTTTATTTAGTTCTTCATGATTTTTAAATTTCATTAATACTAATGCAGAGAAATCTTTTTTTACATTATCAAACTGTTTGCTTCAAAAAAAGTATCGTATTCGTTACAACATTTCGTTTATCGCTTTCTTTACGATGAAACTAACGTTCGCGCGACCTCCAGGCCTGCCTCTACACGACTTGGCTTAGATTTAGTCGGTTCATTTTTCATCGGCCGCCCGTTTTTTTGACCATTCGTAAAAAAGCTATAATCTCGGCTCATCCGCGCCCTACAAGGCGCAGCGTTTGTCCAATGGAGTTTATTTTCTGTTTAGGCGGCAATTTATTTCGTGTGCGCCGCTCCGGCTTGGCGCGAGCGCCGTGGCCCGGTACGCTCCTAATGGTTTTAGCGTGAAAAGATACACGTGTTGCTGCAAATCTCATTGCTTAAGGCGATAAGATAGCGCGCGTTCATACAGCTTTTTACGACATAAAACCTTTTAACGTACGAGTTACCAACGTAATTTCACGTGTTGTGTGCTGGGAAATAGCTAGAGTGAACAGTTTTCTATCATGTGAGGTATTAGTTTCGTTATGTAAAATATGAATTTTGTCGAACGGAAGCCCTGTTCCCTCGCAAGGGTCGCCCCTGCCAGGTGTCACCGCGTAGCATAATCAACGCTAATGTCTCTGGGCGCGATTACGTTTCTCTGGCACTACGAGAAACTGTACACGTCACATTTGTCGTACAAAGAATTGATTTTGACGTTAAAACGGCTTTTTTTACCTGTACCTGTACACTTTCAAAGCCAATACACACATACCATACGTATGTATGTATGTATGTATATGCGCGAGTGAGCGTTTCGGAACGTTTTAAATTTCTAGCTTAATATATGTTTATAAGAAAAGAATTTAACAATTGACATACAATCGTTCTTGCCTCTGATTAATATATAATGTTATTTTTCATCATATTAAAATAACGTAAACATGAATTTTGTTTCAGTTCTCGTTAATTAGGTAGGTAATTGATCGATTGGCAATGTTCACCAACATACATTACAAATATTTAACTAATTAGCAAGATATAGACCAATAATTACCATTAGTAAGAATACTACTTAATTATGCTTATT